GGGTGGTTTTTTTTTTTTCTTTCGCGGTTTTAAAAAGACTGGGGGATTTTTTTTCTTTTTTTTTTTAGGTACATTGTGGGGTTCCCAAAAAAAACCCAACCCCCCCCCCCCCCCCCCCCACGGAAGGGATCGGATTTTCCAGGGGGAAGGGAGGGGTCAATTTACCTAATTTTCCAGTGGGGAGGGGGGGTCACCATAGGGAAATATTTCCAGAGGGTTCTCGTGAGTAAAACGTATGTCGAAACTTCTTAGTTTCATGTTTTTTGAAGGAAAGGTCGTACGTGTTCTTGTTCACTTTTTTTTCACTGCCACTCATTTTCACCTTGCATTGGTGGCTACTAGCATTTCTCCTTTTGTTACCACCACTACAAAATTTTCATGTTGTTATTCCAACAAAAAAATGTCTCCTTTTTTTTTATCTCTCGCTCTAGATCTCTGCCACTTTTTTTCTCATTGAGCTTCGCTGGCCTGCCGCTTACTTTGTCTTTTTTTCAGGCTGTTTTTCTCTTGCTCTTTATTCCAAATTTGTGGACTTGACAATTAATCTAAGTTTAATATTTTAGACAACATGGATACAGAAACAATTTCTGCTTTCCGTTTTCATCTTTCTTGACTCTTTAGTTGTCTCGGCTTTGCAAAATGCGGGTGGCTATGTGATTTCTCGATTTGCATTCTGGTTGCTATACCTGTTGATTGAGTTATTTTACATTGGTATGCCTGTGGTGCAGGTGGACGGTTGTCCGGTGGGTGTACGGTCAAGTGATTACCAAATTTTCTGGGATATTTAGAGTTTCTTACCCGTGGTGCTCCGCTGTGCGAAAGCTCTTCTATTAGATGGGTGTTGTGTTACGTAGGTTTGTGGGACTCCGATGGACTGTTTCGTGGTTTTAAAAGCTTTTAGCTATGGGGTCACTGGAATGGGTGCAATTCTCAAAAGTAGTTTAACATGGGGGCTGCACTCTTCTATGATGGCAAAATATAGGGGTTAAATTTTTTCCCATCTGCTTTCATTCCAAAGGAGATGTTTAATTAAAGCTACATTAATTTATTTTATTATTCATTCAAAATATTTCCCCGATTCTGATTGGCTAAAAGCACACATTTAATTCACCATAACCAGTTACTGATGACCAAATTTGGAAGAATTTTGACTTTAACAAGGAAATGACGTCAAAAATGCAGCGTTTTCGCAGGTTAAGGCACCGTTAATCGAGAAGACCTGGGGACGAGGTTGAGTTGTTTTGGTTGTGAACTTGAAAAAATGGCGGACATTTCACTCGTTTCAAGAGTAAGAACTAGGCGAAAAAATAGCTAAAAACATGGCAAGAACAGCAAGAGGACAACTCGAAGGGCGACATCTGCTATTTGGAGAATATTTGCGGAGCTGGACAAACCTAAACGTACACTATCGAAGATGAACTGAACAGCGATGGATCGATGGAGGTAAGCATGTTTTAGCTATGTTTTTAAACTAGGAATTATTTTGAATGAATAATAAAACAGTTATTGAATTCGGCTTTCGTATCATATGAAGAATTATGGAGATCTCGGAGGGTGTTATCCGCCTCGGCCTACGGCCTCGACGGATAACACCCTCCTCAATCTCCATAATTCTTCATGAGACACTCAGCCTCATTCATTAACTGTTAATTAACACTCAAACACCATATTCTCACAAACTAGAAATATCCACTAGAAGTACTTTTAAACTATGTTTTAAGAATGAGGTATTGTGGCAGATAATTATTTTGGAAACAGGTAACCCCTTTAAATTCAGCATCACAGGGCACCCAGTTTTAGCTGTGAAGAATTCCTCTGCCCAATGGAGTTTAATTTTTCCCTATTGCTTCCTTATTTTGAAAAGGCTAGAGATTTTACCACAGGTTTACCAGGTAAAGTGATGGAGGGGTAGCAGGGAATAAGAGGCAGAGGGAGGGGGTTCTTTATTTGTATGAGAGGTATTTTGGGGGGCACTTTTTTGTGCCATTTTACAGTTACTTGGAGGGTTGGGGTTAAATTTTTTTTTGGACTTCTTCAAATCCTAAATAACAAACCACAGCTTCAATTAAAAACAACAGTTTTTTTTTCTCGAAAATAGCGAAAGCTTGTGATTACAGTTTTTTCACTGTTCAACAGGTTTTTTTTCATTGAAAGTTTTGACTGCTAAGGCAGAAATGCACTATGCATATGCTTAACAAAATGTCTTTGACATGTACAAATGAGTCACTCTCATTTCTTTGTTGCAACAGGTCTCACCTCATCTTCAGGTCATAATTCAGAATTTTGATTTTACATACGTATACTGCATAATTTACTAACTTACAAATTGATATCAATTATGATCCCAGTTTCTATAGCAGTTCCTAAGTTGTGTTATTTTGCTTAGTGATATAGGTAGACTTTCGGGCAAAAAACAATGATTTACTCTCGCAATCACCTAATCTAAGTTGTTACCTGCCTTTAATAAGCTCATTGCCAAGGAATGTTTCATTAATTTTTTTTTCAGAGGCTGGCACTAATATCAAGAGAGTTGTAAGGCAGATTCCAGAGGAAATTCTAAATAATGCGGATTTGCTGGATGCCATTAGACGGGTGAATATTAGTGGAATACTCTATTCAAAAGTACATGTACACGTATTAAATGTTTTTAATTGGTACAGTCAAGACATCAAACCAGATACTATATTGAATTTTGTGATGTGTAGAGCAGTCCAGATATTGCATTGTGTACCACTGTGTGATCACTGGTTAAGAAATTTTATGTTTGAATTTATTATTTTTGTTTTCTTGTTGTTGTTATTATTATTATTTTAAATTGCAAGGTGTTTGTGTAAGTGTGAGAGTTTCCTCTAATGTAGATTGTTAAAAAACTTGAAATTCTTCTTCTTCAGTTACCCCCAAACTATAATTTTGAAATCTTCAAGACTGTTTGGAGGATCAAGGAAACAAGCTCTAAAAGAGGTAAAAAGACATAAATCAAGTATCTTGTACTCTGTAAAATCAGCATGCAAAGAAAGTAGTGTCCGATAGCCCAGGGCTGGTGGATTTTGCTATCGTGCTAGTGAATTCTGTTCTTAACTTGCCTGATGGACAAGTGAAGTTTTTTAAGGAATTCAAATTACATAAGAACTGTGAAATCAATTTTGCCCATCAAAATGTTTTTGGGGCTGGTTGAAATGACATTTGGGCTAGTAAATTTTAGCTTCAACTTGCCCGAATGGCAAGCTTTAAAAATGACTTTCTTTGCACCCTGAAATATTGTGTGACTAACATGATGATAGAAGACCAGCCTGACTGTAAATATGATTAAGAGATCTTTACAAAATTCTGACTGGCCAATCACACACAGACTACTGCAACAGGGAGGTGTAAGGTACCCTTTTTGTTTAGTGATAATTTGGGAAGGAATGTGGTTTCTTGACTTATTTAAGCGGAAAATTATCTGTCTTAACTGAAGACTGGCTTCCTAAAATAATGTGATTTTAACTTTGGTTTCTGGAGTTATATTTGAATGATAATAGGGACCCTACCAAACTACGATAGCAAAAGCAACTGGAACTTCAAAAAAGGAACAGGTTTACAGTGTAATGAGCAAACTAACAACTATGCACGTGGATCATGATTTTTGCAAATTTCTTTGCCATCCCTGCACAACTATAACGTGAAATGGCCAAATCGTTTGTTCTCATGAGAATGGGAAGACAATAAATTCTACTATCTCTTTCTGAACTTGGTGGAATTTCGCTCTCCTCAGTTCCAACATAAATTCCTTTCTTTTAAGTAACTTAGCAACTTAGGACAATTGCAAAAAAGTTTGCAAGGATGTAAAGTTTGCTTTTGATCAACGTTTTCATGGACGTGGCCATTGTTGGATCGTTAAGTCTGTAATATCCCTGACATCATAACATGCAGTTAATGGAACAGAATGCCTAAGGTGGCAATTGGATTGAAGTTTGTAGTGTGATTATTTATTCCATGAATGAACTCAATTCTTTTAGCTCTAAAGAAAAAGAGGTTTCCATGGCTAGAAGTATCTTAATGTAGTACATGCTTGTTCTTTTGTATTGTTTTAGTGGCATTACAGTTCCCAGAAGGACTTCTCATGTTTGCTTGTACAATAGCTGACATCTTGGAAAGGTATGGTTGGCTTCCATCATTTTGCCCCCAATTCTCGATACACTTTTTAAATTCTTGACACCAAAGAAAGGGGAGTATTTTAGCAGGGTGGAGATTTGCCAGTAACGGTTGAACTGTGAAGAACCCTTGAAGTAGCCAGATTTCTTTACTTGACTCCTTTCGCACCAGAAAGTACCAGAAACAAAGTTTCCTTCTCTGATTATTCGTTTACCTTTGTTCTTGTCACTCAACAAGTTTTTTTTTTTATTAACACTTTCAACGTAATTAAAGGGAGTAAAACTTGACAATGGAGGAGAAAACGCAGTTAAAGGAAATAAACTTTCAGTAAAAAGTAATTTAAACGCATTTAAACTCAGCGCAATTAATCCAATACCTTAATTTCATGGGGCATTAATTTCCTATAATAAGTTACCGTAAAATTCCGAAAATAAGCCCCAGGGCTTATATTTTTCAAAGACCCTTTTTGAGGGGCTTATTTTTGGAGGGGCTTATCTACGGAGGGAAATTTGCGTTTCAAAATTGATTTGGCTAGCCTTATAGTTGGAAGTAAATTTACCGTTTTTGCTTTGTTTTACTTTGTATTTGAGGGCAATTTTCCAAGTACAAGCCCCCCGGGGGCTTATATTTGGAGGGGCGATTTAACGGAGGGTTTTTTTGGATTACTGGTTTGGGGGGCTTATATTTGGAGGGGGGATTTAACGGAGGGTTTTTTGCATTGCCGGTTTGGGGGGCTTATATTTGGAGGGGCTCATACATGGAGGGGCTTATTTTTGGAATTTTACGGTATAATCCTTATTCATTGAACCATTAAGGGCCAGTTTACATGGAGGTGGGGACCCCAGGTAGGTGAGGAAACCCGCTTAGGTGGGGTTACCCACCTGTCCATATAATCTCTCTATTTAATTTGATCACATTTACATGGTAGGTGGGGTGACCTACCAAGGTGAGTAGCCTGGTCTACCAGACTGGGTAACCCTCTCAGCCAGGATCAAATTTTGCCATGTAAACGTTTCAAGGGGGCTAACCCGCCCAGCCGGGGTCGGATTCGGGATACATCAAATTCGTGGAAAATTCACTTTGGCAGTGGCTTTGCATCATTATCAAAGGTAACAATAGAAAGCCACAGCACTGAAGGTTTCAGCAAGAGCAGCAGGTGATTGTAGAAGAGCAATAATCGTCGCCAAGACACGTGGTTTGCCAGTATTTTTCTTGTTTACAGTGTACGCGAACTTGCTTAGCAACAATTCAATAATTTTGAAAACGTGCACCCTGGGATGGAGGGGTTGTAAGATTGCATGTAAACGAGGGTTATTTTTTTACCCCACCTAAGCAGGTTACCTCACCTACCTTGGGGTCCCCACCTCCGTGTAAACAGTCCCCAAGTGGATACAGGGGATAGCTGCATTCTGTGTTTCACAGTCAGTCTCTTACTGTGTCTAGATTCACAGAGTGTGATACTGTTATTATGGGAGATGTCACTTATGGGGCATGTTGTGTTGATGACTTCACTGCTAGAGCTCTTGGCTGTGATATGATGGTTCATTATGGCCACAGCTGTTTAGGTAAGGACCTGTATAATTAATTAATTATAATTCATGATAATTATAATTAATTTTACCATTAAAGATGGGCTTACAATAGCGACAAAGGCAGAGGCAGAATCAAAAAAGGCATAATTTAAAAACAAATAATGAAAAAGATATTATTTGAGGTTCAAAGTTTTCAGGAAGTTAAATTTTCAAAAATGCACACAAGGTAAACTGCCTAAAGTATTCAATCAATCAATCAAACAATCAAAGAGTATAATTTATTTTACTTCGAATTAGTTGATAGCGAAATTCAGTGCTAATATCTCCAAAGAAAATTAGCACACTAGAAGATTCTAAGAGAATATTACTAGATGTTGAGAAAATTCCCAATTAGCATGTCATCGTTATTCTGTTACTATGGAGGCGGTGATAAAACCAAACGTAATTATCAATGCTTTATAGACAGGTTGTTTCATTTTGAGGCTTTTCCGTACATGCACTACAGCCAAAATTACAGGGCATCAAACACGAAGGGATAAGTCCTTGAAAAATAGGTGCGAGCCTCCGTAATTGTTTCGGAAAGAAATTAACCGTTTGCCTCAGAAAAGTAGAGCTGTCACTGAGATTTCAAGTTACCAGTAAATCGGCGGGGAGTGAAAGACCTAGGGATTTCTTTTGGTTCTCTTTTTCTTCTACTTTTCCTATGAAAGTAGCCGCGTGTGTTCATTGTAGCTAGGGGAGATCTTCCGCTCTCCGGCCTTTAGTGACCGCCTTGTGATAAGCCAAAATGTCAACCATTGACCGTATACTGTTAACTGCCGCTTATACGTCTTAATTAGTGGTTTTGGGAGGGTTTATTAACGGAGAGGCTTATATCTGAAGGAGCTTTTAAAGGGACTGTACCACGGCTGTCTAGTTCTTTTGTTATTTTGCCAGTTACTCTTCCTTATGCACTATAGAACTTAACTTTAAGGAACAAACTACTTCTGAGCAACAAAATCAGAACTTCCCAAGTATTATATCAAACGTTACGATTGACAGAAATGAAGTTTGAAAGACTGTTAGCCTAACACGTTTTCAAAAACCCACAATTTGAATCCGTCATAATCTTCTTCAAGTTTGTCCATCCGTGCCTACTTTTGTATTTGCTGTGTTATTAATACCTCCTTTTAATGTTTTTGAACGATTATTTTTATGTTTTACTCAATCTGGTAGCAGTTCCTACTGTCAGAATTTTAATAAAATCTGTGACAGCTCCTTTAACTGGAATAGAAAAAGCACTTCAAAACAAGCTGTAACACAAGTACTGATCAAAATGCATTTAAGCCTGGTTTTTATCTGTCGGGGAAATCCCAGACGATCGCGGATTTTACTGTTTCCCGATTGTTTCAGATTTTGCCGACTATAATAATAACTCGAAATCGTAGATATCCCAGATCGTTTAGGATGGACGGGGACAAATCTGGAGAATCGGGAGCTTTTTTATTTTCCCGACGCGTCCCAGTTTTATGCGATGGTCGGCGATCATTCCCGTCAAATGAAAACTCAAATTTGTACCGTCGGGGACGTCGGCGATGGATTTCGCTCATGAGAGAGTTTTAGATTCGAGTTTACCGCGAACCTCTAACCGCTGGAGGTCACGTGACAAGTCTTTCGCGTCACGTTTGAGGTTTACGACGTGCGTTTTAAACGTGGGGAGGTAGGTTTTCACGTAGGTCATTTACCTGAAAGCTTTTAGCGTATAATTCTTGTTTTATCTCACGTAATGATACAAAAATCGTGTGAAGCAAGTCTTCATCCATTAACAGAGGCACAAATTCGGGCGAAATGCTAAATTTGATAAATCCTATTGGATCTTGAAAACAAGTGCCATTCATGGCTGCTGATTCAAAATGACGGCCGTAAATTTGCAAGAAGAACTAATGTAAGAATTTACAGTTTGTTGCTGCTAGATAACCCAGTGTTACCGTAAATTTCTTTTATTTTCACTGATTGATATTTCTTGTATTTCTAAATGGAAAAATAAACCAGAATCCACTTGTTTAATCCACTGCCAATCTAAATCGAATTATGTTTGAACGTTGAACCGCAAACCGCGGTTAAAGGTTCGCGGTAAACTCCGATCTAAAACTCTCTATTACCAATCCTACCAATCCCCTAAATTGCTGGGCTTCAGTTCCCCTATCACGCAAGTTTCAATTTTTGGCCTACTTTCCATTTCCAGCCAAATTCATTGTGAGAATCGAGAGACAGAATTATGGCGAATATCTGAACGGCTACGTGACTGTACAACATCATTCTTTCGGAAAACTTAGCTTCTTGGACCCTCGATCCTCGATCATCGAAACTCGAGACTCGATCCTCGCGTCTAGAGACTCGATCCTCGCATCTCGAAACTCGAAGCGTTCGAGCTTCGAGACGCGACGATCGAGTCTCGAGTTTCGAGCTTCGAGAGTCAACTTACTTTTGAGCGGTACTGTATCTGGGACGGCCGGCAAAATGTAATATCCCCGATCGTCTGGGATTTTCCCGACATATGAAAACCAGGTTTTCCAGTATACCACCACCACATTGAGACCGTATGGATGGCTAAGAACGTTTGCTGCTCCCTTGGCGGGGGGGGGGGGCGGTACCCCCCTATAAAAGATTTTTTTGCATTGGCTTTTAAAAAGGATTGGTCAAAAACGTCTGCCTAAAAAGAAATGTAAACCTGCGAGTAGGGGTTTTTTGGTTTAGAACCCCAAGCCGTTCCACCCCCCAAACTTTAACCCCCAAAAAGTAGGGCCGGGCCCCCCTTCCTTTTTTTTGGGGGGTATCCCCCCCCCCCCCCCCCCCGGGTTGCTGCTCTGGTTATTCGGAAAGCTGTAATCAAGAGTAATTATTTCTGTTAATACCTTTACAGTTCCCATCGACTCTACAAAAGGAATCAAGATGCTGTACGTATTTGTGGATATCAAACTGGACGCTACACACTTTGTTGATACTGTCAGGCATAATTTTGAAGTTGGTTCTTCTCTGGCGTTAGTGAGCACGATTCAATTTGTGGCAACTCTTCAAGTATGTAAATGTTTTATCATACGTATCTACAATGTGAAATTTTTTTGATGGACTGTAGTTATCAGTCCTCCATTGTTCGTTTCTCTCTTGGCATGTATTGCGTGCAAGAGAGATTGATTCAAGCGCTAGGCAATGGCACACTACGAGAAGCTCGCCCTCGTTTCTCGCAGCTTGCAGCTTTCTCGCTCGCTACGCGCGTGTTGCGCTTGCTACCCGCCATTAACTTTGAAGAAAAATATTACACTACACTTATCTTAGTGTCAGCAGTGTCAGCTCGTGTACTGACTCTTTTATTTGTACGCTCTTCATTCTCTCATCTCCTTCTCGCTCACGTATTTTTAATAAACAAGAAGATCAGGAAAGCTTTTAAGCTCTTAAGGTGGATAGCTTGGATGTAAAAATCGGAACTGTCCAACTTGAAACCGCTGAAGCCCTTTTCTATTAACCCATTCCGCGTCAAAAAGCAAACACATTCGCCGCGAGATTATTGTTATAGTGGTAACTCTTCAGTTAATTGCCGGCCGCATTACGTAACAAATTTACACATGTAGTCAGTGTCAAAGAGTACTGCTGTTGAGTCTCTTTTTTGTGGTGGTTGTTAGATTTGCTGTTTTAAGTGAGAAAATCAAATTTTTGTTAAGAAGAAAAGGGTAGTTTTTGCGAAGGAAACTGAAACTCATTTATTTTGTTGCTGTTATTTGGAACTTCAAGGCCTTTGACAGCGTCATTTTCTTTCGCAGACCTTTCGTGTTAGGTAAAAAAAATTAGGTATTTTTTTTAATCGTTAGGTCAGTGATTAGATTTCTCTTCCGTGTAAATATGTTATCTGTGAATTTAGCCTTAATTCTTTCAAAGTCTCCCGTTTGAGATACTTGTGCTCAAATGCCAATTCTGCGTGAGTCTTAGCAAAATGCGGCGTCAGTCGATCAAGCTAAATTTCAGGTTATGTTAGCTCATTGGCCATTCTTCCATGTGGGAAAATAAATACCACCGAAAATGTCCAGTGAATCTGCCTCCCAGCTGCCCAAGATGTTTTGCCATACTTACTGTTGACAAGAAATAAGAACAGTAAACTTACCGCAGAATATTTGCTCGTCTCATTGTAAATCACCTACACAACGTGACATTCTTTAACAGTGCTCCATGGGAACTTATCCTTTTTTAATTCTAAGTAACTTTTTGACCATCATTTAAGCACATAACTTGGACGAGAAAGTTATTTTCTTGTAATCTTTGAGGAAATCTTTACCTGATAAGGCGAGAACTTAATGCACAGTGCTCCACTGATCGTTTTTTGAGAGTTTATTGTAGGAAACGGTTTTACTAACATTTCAATGGAACACTGTTTGAAATCCAAATGGAAGATGTTTATTTCACAATTTATAGCGCATTTTCTATAGAATAAACTGTTGCTTGTCTTTTGAGGAAATTAACAAATCGACCAAGGAAAATCTTGGTAGAGGTGTGCCGCCGAGGCCTTCAAACCCCGACCCTGTCTAAGACAAAGATTGCTCATTTCGCTACCCTGTTTAAGACAGGAGACACTACTTTCTGACCCTGATTTGTTTTATTTTGCATACAGAATTAAGTACTTTTTCACACTAAAATCGTGGAAATAGATATTTATGAAAAAATATTGGTATTGCAAATTTCACACTCTTTGAAAGGCCTCCAGTCCAAAAAGACACCCTGTTCAAGACACTGGTGAAATTGTATACCCAGTTTAAGACTCAAGACCTTGAAAACCATACCTTTTCCAGCGGCACATACCCGTATAGGCCGAATAAGGGAGCGCCCCCCGGGAAAACAAGGTTTCACAATGGACTTTATTCGATGAAATTGCATCCCAAGACGTAACTTTTGGTACAAGCTTTTTCAAGTTTACAATAAGTATTCGATTCATGCATTCTAAGACGCAATGATTGGATTGATTCGCTAATGGCTATTATGAGACGTCTGAGACCAGATTGCATCGCCCTGTTTTAGAATTCGTTTGAGGATATGGCGTTCCATTTGAATTTAAAGGGCCTTGTCCTGTAACATATTTCTAAACATATGAAAGAAACGTATTCAACAAGCCGTTTTTAAGCAAAGTTTGCGAGGGGGAATTTGGTACAGCTCAGGGCGGATATCTTTAAGCCAATTTTGCCGCTAAATTGCAAACGTGGGAGGAATCTTTAGAGCGATTTTCGTATGACCTTGAAAAATGGTTTCGGTAAGTGTTCGTTATTTGTTTCATCACCCAATGGATGAAAGTTTTTAAAACATGGCCTCTTCGTTTTCCCGCCAAAGAAACCCTAATATGGAGAAGGCATTGTTCGATTGGCCAGTCATGTTGCAGTATGACGTCAAAGTTAAGTATCGGTTGATTTCTAGAAAGTTCTTCGGGCATGAAGAGCGTTTGCTCAACCAAACAAAAGCCAACCACGTTTGTATCCGTTCGATAAACCAATCAAATCGCTCTATTCCTGTTCGTTTGTTGTTCCTGGTTTGTTCGTGCGTTTTCATGTGAAGGTTCTACGTAAATCGCTCTATCCGTACCAAAAAGACGATGTTTGTCTCAGCACCCAGCTGTTCCAAAACTCCCTGGAAATTTCTCTGCCAAAAAAGGTGGAGAAAATTTATTTGTGGAAAACTCAACCTTTGCTTTGATTAAGAGCTACTCTGAAACGTTCGCTCTGTCCTCTCACTGCCGGGCTTCGATTGACTCTGGACTCACGCTTTCGTTTCTTTTCACACTGATTTCCCCGTAGCTTAATGGCTAAAGCTGTGGCTTTGACTGATATTTTTCTTCTCGAATTTGCCGTTTGCATCGAAAATCCTTATCTTCTACTAGTACATTTACCTGCTTGAATAAGACTAAAAAAGGCTGCACTACAAGTAGCCAATGAACCCTCTCTTGTTTTATAATACCATGTATACTGTGAATACTGTGATTTTACACGTACTTTACATTTTAACTGAAAAAGTGCCACTTGACATGGTATAGTCATAAGTAGATGCACTACAGATGCAGATGGCGAAACCAAGAAAGGACCTCTAATCCATTCCAAAGTTGACTGTAGGCTGTGAGAATCCAGAACTAGTAACTATTCATCCGAACATGCTAAAAATCCAATACTTTGGTCCTTTTTGTAGTGACCAAAATTAAAAAGTACCAAATAATAACATTTGGAAGAGATTTTGGAAAAGCAATCCTCCTAGCCAAAAGGTTTTGGGACACCTTCTCTAATCTTTTTCACATGCATGGAATTTGTAGCTAAACACGGCTTTAACACGATTTTTCACCCCCCCTTCCTTTCCTGAACAAAGTTGAGGTCCTTAACGTGTGGAAGAAATGTAAGAGGTGTTTGACTTTTCCTCCCGGCACTGTCCAAGTAGGGGTCAACTTGAACTGCATACATTTTCCTCACCTGAAATACAAAGTGTCTCAAACGTTTTGACGAGGATTGTACTTTTCTACACGGCTTGAGCGGTTGTCATAAAACTTCGTTCCGCGCTCGTAATCCGGATATAGTTTTTGACTTGAGACGATACTAGTGTGTTGAAAATGATACAGGAAACCACATTCAGTCATCAAGGAAGCAGAGTTTCTGGCCTTTTAATGAAAACATTTATTTCATCTTATTTTTACAAATCCCTTATTTAACCGCTTTTTAAAACCAATTAAAAGTTTCCTAGCTGCATTTTAAGGCCGCTTGAAGGCTGTTTCTGCGTATTACGGCTCTTATTGGACTAAAATATATCCCATCGCTTTGATGTGCTGCCCGCCATTATCTCCTTCGAGAGCTTCGTTGCCACACGTGTTGGAGTTATCATGGTACCCTGCTTTTCCAAACCCGATCCTGGAGTCACAGCTGCTACAATCATTCTCGTTGTTGCCAACGATACCAATTCTCGCTCTGCTACCACTACCACACAGTGTGTTGAATCCTTCCTTGTTACAGTTGGGTTGTAAAGAGGCCCGAGACCCAATGAGCTTCTTCCAAGTGTTACGGCCCAGTGAAGAAGCTCGGTATTTGCCATCGGCGATCAGTGAATACAGTGATCTGGCTGGATGATTGATGACAACAGACTTAAACTGCCGACCGATCTTCATTCCAAGACAGATCTTGTTAAACGCTGTGTTCCAATAAGTCGGTAACTTGGTCTCGTGAGTGTCCAACCCAGTCTTCCCTCCTGGAAGATTGAAGTCGAATTTGTTGCTCCAGAGGTTGGAATTGTAGTGAAAGGTTCTCTGAGTGCGTTTAAAACAAAGATTAGTTAATCATTTTGCTGGTGTCTCTGTTTGAGAAATTATGGTTTGAAAGCCACGTGTCATCGCCAAGTCTATTACTGCTGTCATGTCTTTTCTCATGCTTTGTCTTAATCTGAATGTATCATTTCGTCACTAGCTTTCAACAAATAAGCACTGGACTTCTTGAATTTCCTCTAGCATTATAAGTTCACCTTTTTAGGGGGATTAAGCTTTTTCGGACCGACATAGTTACTAACTTTTGGAAACATATATCTTATACCTTTGAGCCATCGATCTTCATGACCAGCGTCCATCCACCTCCTCCGCATGCGTCAAGTCCATGCGTGGTCATGTGACAATATACGGGAACCTTTATAGACCCAACATCGAGCAAGTATGCTGTGCTTCCTTTGGACCTGGTCAAACATGCCACCAAATTGGTTAAGTTAATTTAGAACCACATAGTTTGTCTTCTTTAATTTGTACGGACGAATTTTTATGTACATTATGTGTGGTTTTGAATGTAATGTTTTCGTTCCGGCCCGAATCGTCGCAGCTGTAGACTGACTTTAATGTCCACCTGAACAAACATGCGACGCTATGATTGACAAAATCACAGAATGTTTGCAATGTTTATATCAAATTTTAGTGCCAAAAGGCTGAGAATGCTCGATATCTAATATAGAGATTTAGCAAGGGCTAAAAGCGAAGCTCACATTAATAAGGTTATGCATATAATTTAATCCGCAAACAATAAACTTGTAATCCACAAATCAGTTAACTTTATTGCACATTCATTAGACTTTTGATGGAAAGGCTAAGAGTGATTTTAGATAAAAATAATTTGCAACAGTTTAAGAGTGAAAAAAAATCTTACATAGCGTTGAATTAATAATCAGGTAATCTTATATGTGCACCCCAAAAAATAGTATCCTATTTCACAACACTCAATTACTCGCGATCATTGTTATTAAGATATGGGAAAATTGATCGAGCGCCCTTGAGGAGGTGGAAACTGTAATCGATTCCCGATCCAAACACGAATTTTCAGCAAAGAAAGGGCTGGGGAGGGTGGGCCGTTCCACCTTCCTACTTGGCGCTGATGAGAGACTGAGCGGAGAGGGAGTGTTCAACAGCATTTATTATTGCCCCTTGGGATTCAGGGCCCCGTGCACCTGCATACCCTTGTGCATGAGACTTGTTATTTTAATGTTTTGGCTTCGCGCTTCGATTTTGAGTATTGTGAATAGCAATCATCTTCGCTCACATTAACCGTAATGGCTCTTGATCACAGTAGAGTAGGCCTGGAGAACACATTCTTGGAAAACAAAATCAGGCCGAATTTTTTACGTTCGACAAGTTTATTTTACAAAATCTTGCCAACAAATCTAGTGGCGTGTAAACCAGCCTCTTATACTTTTTATACATCACATCTGAGGTAAACAGTACTATAAGGCGCTGTTTTTGTCATACAGACCTCGGATAGAATGCAGGAATGCACAATAAATTATAGAATTGACCACATAAATGTTTCAATGAAGAGAATTCCATAATGTCGGAACTGAGCAATTTTGTCGTATGTGGTATGCAGGGTAATAATGGGCGTAATAGCTCCAAATTTCAATGAACCTTAAGAGAGTTACGCTTCAACATAATACTAGAATTTATTATGTTTATTTTTCATTTAAGCTTAATGGTTTTATGTGCAATTTTTATAAGCGTTTGATACTCCTTGCTTTATTAGCTTAAGTACTCCTGCAAGCGATGTTTTTATAATGTAAGACTGAAAACAACCGCCACTTCGATTAAAATTGCAAGAGAGACTTCTAACATATAAATATAATTCTAAATATAATTCGGTGAAACATTTACAGAGACAACAATTTTCATTCACGAAGACAAGTATTGAGACTAAAGTGTCTCCAAAAATCCTGAGTCATGTAAGCATATAAGGTTAAAACGGTAAAAACCCAACTCCGCCTGTGTTAGTTGCGTTTTAAGCCGATTTCCCCGTGTTTGCTATTTTTCAAGATGAACTCGAGGCAAGAAAACCATTCAAAGCTTTCTTTTTACAGACAAAATTATAGCTAGATATTCTTCGGAACGTTTTTTCTGTTTCCGGTTTAATAGAAGATATCTAAAGGCTTTTTAAAGTTATTTAACTAAAGGTTATATCAAACCTGACCCTAGGTGAGATTATTGTCTCAAATCTTACAAACGTACAAAAACTAACCGCATAAACAACGCTCGACTTCACAGTCTAAAACCGGAAAAGAAACAAGCAAACATCAAATACAATAATTACTCAGCCTTACCAGTCGAGATGCAGCTGCTAAAAGCCATCATCGCTTGAGACTTATCAACCCTCTTACGCATCAAGCAAGGTGAAAAACGAAAACGACGCCATGTGAAATGGGATTTCCAATCTTGGACAAGCGGCGCATTTCTCAACCAAAAACCCAATAAACAAACGAGCCATGAATAACAGAAGAATCTTGGTGGCAATTGTATTTCATTTTGTACATCCAGTGGAAAAAGGCGGTTAAAAACATCAGAAGATGACGACCCAAAACTTTGTCAGCTTCAGCTGTCAAAGTAAACAAGTTTTCAGATGCTGCATAAACTTTCAGCATGAACTCACCTGTCAAATTTTGACAAATCAGAACATAAAAATTGGACGTAGAGCGTGACCAACGCGTGTCCATGGCGAGAAAAGTCAAAAGCAACTGCCTTCCTTGTTTTGCCCGTAATAGCTGGCTGAATTTTCGCGTCCGAGGTCAGATTGAACTCAAAATTTTAATAGTGCGGCTCAACTCATTTCTTATGCATTTAAAAAAAATGAACTTGAGCCTGCGATCATTTGAAAACTAGTAAATTGTCAGCGGATGACAAAAAATACTCGATGGGTCGATACTTGAGCCCGCGGTACGGTCAGGTGATACTAGTCAGCGGATACCCTGTTTTCACAGCTCGATTGATCGTAACAATATCAGGTTGCATCTGGGCTAGAAAGTGTGAGATTAAACATTGGTTACCCCGTGATGCGGACGGTCGGTCGGTCGTTCGTTCGTTCTGTGTACGGTCACGTGATTACCAAATTTTCTGGGATGGGTAGACATACTTACCCCTGGTGCTCCGGTGGCGCGCGCTTCCCGCGCGCGACAGCTCCGCTATAACCCTACGTCTAGCGACTTAGGGAAAGAATTGTGTTCTTTGGAATTCAACCATTTCGTAGTTTTGGTAACTCCCGTTGTGTTCCGGGAGTTAGGTTACCGGGTTCTTTTGTTGGAATTAATACAATTCATTTGTTTGTAGAGTCTTATAATGTATCGGAAAGTAAAGTTCGTTTCTATATCAAAAAGAGGAGTTTTTTTCTTTTTTCAAAAAGGGCAGTTAGTTAGGGCAGTTAGTTAGGATGTAGAGGGGACCGAGTTTTGAAGAGTTGACATTTCAAACTTGGCATTCCGTCCGTTGTAAACATTTCACACAGCAGAGGTAGACAATCGACTTTCTTCTTTGCACATGGTATAAAGTGCCCTTTACAATCTTTTGAAACGGCTGTTATTTTATCTTTCGGGAGATTCTGTATCGCTTGTAGTTACCAGTCATTGTCATAATGGTCTTTGCACGTTGAAGCTGTAAGAAATTAGACAATGATATTACCTGTTTTACAAAAACTGATTTTTTTTAAGCAAGGAGAATGTTGGCTTAGTCTAAAGCAGGGCGGTGAAACGAGCGCACCCGAGCAAAAAGGTGTGATGCAGTGGACTGGGACCCTGCTTAGAAATGTCGCTTGTTTTCGACTTCGGTCAGGGCTTGCGATGTGGTTTGTCCATTAGACACTGCCGCTGTCATTGAATTATGGCGGCTTGATTTGTTTTCTTGCACTTCTTCCTCGTCCCTTTGTGCTGGTACGCTGTCTCCGAGAGGCAAATGTGTCTATTTTTTGCCGGAGGTTTAGCTGGAGTAGACAAACATCTCTTTCAAAGGGTTTCTCTTATTCAGTCTTATTACTTCCATGACTCTACCACCAAATTATATTTTCGTTCTACTACTCGCCAATGTCGATGTTATTCCAAAACAAAAACAACTAAGTACTGTCAAAAAAAGGAAAATCTCATCCATGGCAAAACTAAAAGACAGCAGATCGCGTTTCATAACTAGATGACGTGTGTTTTATAAATGAGTGCAGCTCGTGCAAGTAATTTCAATCACCATCATCCTTCTTTTTAATTTTGAAAAAAACATCTTATACGTCTTTCTGTTTCTTCGAAACTTCAAAATTAGTTTCCCCTCAGTTTTTACTGTTTACCTTGTTTTGTTTTAGAGAGAAAAACGGAGAAAAAACCTTATGAGGTTAAGAAGTGTTAAGCTTTTGCAAACGAGACGGCGAAAGACGATTAGGTGATATTTAGTGGAAGGAGGAGGTATTCAACACTTTCAAATTAAACTCAAATTTTGGCATTATACGACCAACAAGTTTGACTTATGGACGTACAGACACAAACATATGAAACTGTTTATTGATATTGTTATGAAACGAATTTATCTATTTAACATTGTGGCCTGAAATTACAGAAAGAATATAGGATTTCCGGTTTGCAAAAAGGAAAATTTCGCCGGCCTTCAAGCGCACCGGAAGCGCGGAAAGAGCGCTCGCGCCAGTCCCACTCCGCATCACACATTAAATGAAGAGCGGAGCGCTTGTTTCACCGCCCAACATTTATCCGCCCTGGTCTAAACGGCGTCGCAGCACTTTTCCAAGGGTCGACTGCATTCGTGATCATGTGACCATTTTGTACCAACTGCTGTACAAATTAGTGAAAAGCCCAATTGTCCATTCTGAAAAACAGGAAAACGGGATAACACTTTCTTGGTCTCGGTGATTGCTATTATCCCATTGAAAAATTGATGGATTAAACATGACCTTGTTGTAGAAGAACCGCTTTAAAGTGATGCCAAATCAGATAAAGATACTATAAAAAGAGTACAAAAACGTACTACACGTTATTCACCGCAAACAACAGCCAATTTCTTCTGAAGCTTTGGCGACCGTATTTGCTGAATTTTTTTAATTGAAATTTCTCTATGTAAATGATACCCCAGGTCTCTCTTCTCTCGTATCCTAGGGTAGTGGACGTCGCAGAAACGTGCCAAAAAGGTGTGATGCACGTGTTCATAAGACAATTGATTTTTGACGTTCTCGTTGCCGTCGTCGCCGTGGTTCAGTGCATTGGAAATATATACATTTGGAGATGAAGCCATGGAAATTAGAAATAGTAGTTGAACACATCTTACCTGGAAAAGCAGGGGGCTGTAGCAGTTTAATTAGCTGGTCTAACTTTTCATCAAGTTTTTTGATAGCTTCGCTAGTTTCAACTCCCTGTCCAATGTACTGGTTGCATAGAATTGTTTCACCATTTCTGTTAGCGCGAACTGGAGTCGAGCTGTTTGTAGTTTTAGCGCCGTTAGCCACATCTACCATTACAACCAAACAGAAAGCTGCGCTGAGCCAAAATCGCATCTTGAGAACCAGCTTTGTCGTGTGAAAACTGCACTATTCCGTTAAGTTTCTTCAGCAGAATAATCCGTGCGGTATAAGTTTGTGTGTTTATACATAGGACATGTTTTAGCCCAAACGGAAATTTTAAGTTTCAGTATAAAAATGCGGATGTGTTAATCTTGACTATTCTTTTATATACAGAAGTCTGCTTGAATACGCACGAACTTACATCTTGTCAATTTTAGACTCCTTAAGCCTGGAAGTCGAACGCACGTGTGATATTCAGGCCAGTTAAATCCTTTATTTTAACGCCAGTCATTAGGCTGCACAACAGGGGTGATGAGGGTGGAGAGGGCGGGACAGTGACGTACGCGGAAGAGAAAACAGATAGTTGCTTTTATTTCCTCAGTTCCCCTCTCTCTCTTCGCGATTTTCCTCCTCTCCCGCACTCCCCCTGTACCTGTCACTCATGCTATAGCGTCCTATCTTTGAGGCAAGGAGGATTCGATCATATAAGCAATGAGTTTTCAACTCGCAATTGTAATCAAGGCTGTTGATATCCACCTACGAGAATAGATTTAAAATCAGCTCATGCTATTAGACACCACCTCCAGAACCTCGTGATTTTACGTTTTCTTACTGCTGGAGACGTTTTTGCCCAGTTTGTTTTTTTTGTAAAATTATACTTTAGTGACTTCAATTTGTATTGGAAACAAGGAAGTTGAGGTCGTAAGTTCACCATGCGAGTCATGAATTACGAAAACAGTCCATGCTGTTAGACACCATTCAAAACAACTTCATAAATCATTTGCCGAGGTTTTGTCAAGAAAAAACGAGTAATTTTTGGGTCGGCCAAAATTTCTTGCTGCGAAGAAAACTGGAACTTGATTTTGTAGTTGTTATTTGGAACTTCAGCACTTTTGATTGCGTCGTTTTCTGTCACGGATGGTTTATTTTATGGTGGATTGTTGGAAGCTGTCCATGGCTATTGTCAATCACCTTTTCACAGTCAAGCCACATTTTTACGAAAGTGATAACCGTTCTCATTAATATTGATCAAGATTGACTTTGTTAAATCAGTTCTTTTTATTTCACCGCTAATCCTTTATTTGATTGAAACCTCATATTACAATAATCAAAAGTATCTTAGTTGCATTTAGGGGTCGCCTCTGCCATTTTTGAAGGCGGTTTAAAGGTAGTTTCTCTGCAAATCACAGCACTTATTGAACCAAGATATATCCCATCGTTTTGATGTGCTGGTCGCCATTATCTCCACCGTGAGTAGCTTGGTTGCCACACGTGTTGTGGTCATCAAAAAGCCCTCCAGTGCCAAACCCGATTCTGGAGTCGCAACTGCTACAGACATTTTGATTGTTTGCGACGATACCAATTCTCGCTTTGGAGTGGTTGCTATCGGTGCATAGAACGTTGAATCCTTCCTTGTTACAGTTGGGTTGTAACGAGGCCCGAGAGCCAATGAGCTTCTTCCACGTGTTACGGCCTAGTGAAGTAGCTCGGTATTTGCCGTCTGCTATCAGTGAATACAGTGATCTGGCTTGATGGTTGATGACAAGAGACTTGAACTGCTAACCGATCTTCATTCCAAGACAGATCTTGTTAAACGCTGTGTTCCAATAAGTCGGTAACTTGGTCTCGTGAGTGTCCAACCCAGTCTTCCCTCCTGGAAGATTGAAGTCGACTTTGTCGCTCCACAATTTAGAATTGTAGTGAAAGGCTTTCTAGAAAAAAAAAGTCAGTTAACTCATTCATAAAGAATACTATCACTTTGCTGTTTTATCCTTTTGAGAAATATGATACAGTCTCGCCTTGGTTTTCACTGGTCTTGTTGCGAAGTCCTCACATATTATTCTCTTCATAGCTTGTACTACTTAAGCTAAAACTTTTCAAACCTACACGTACTAGATTCCTTTTCTTTCATTTCACGTGGACTTGTGACTTACATTGTAAGTTTACCTTTATATTGGGAATGAGGTGATGACAAACGTGGCAACTTGTGAAAACATTTAACTTTTAATACCTTTGTGCCATCGATTTTCATGACCAGCGTCCATCCACCTCCTCCGCATGTATTAAGCCCATGCTTGGTCATGTGACAGTATACGGGAATCTTTGCAGATCCAACATCAAGCAAATACGCTTTATTTTCACTGGACCCGTTAAAACATACCACTTTACTGATTACTCCCAGCTTGTTTGTTTATTTCTGTTAAAGTTAGGACGCCATGGAAAATCAGAATTCTTGTAAAAGAAATCTGTCTTATCAGATCAGCAATGTTTGGTCGAAGTTGAATAATCTTATAGAAATATCGTGTAGTGTTGTTATTACTGACTTTGTCGATGAGAAGGACTCTTCTTTACCGCCATATATATGATAACTGTTCAATCCACTTAAGTTAGTGATTCATAAACTATCCTTCCAGCTTGAGTGTTTCGTAAATTGTCTGAGTTTTCTATTTCATTCTTATTATTTTCTTACCATTTTCTTCTCGGTATTTTAGTTTATTTGTAACCATCAGGGCACCAATTTTCACTTTTTATTTTTTAAAATACTGAAGAATATTCAGAAGCAATTCTCTTTTTTTTTAAAATCAGTTCAAGCTTTAGTGTTTTAAGGGATTTTAGCGCTGCAATGTTTGCCTACATCAAATGAAACCCACACTAATAATTTTCCATAGTAGTTACATAAATTTACCGATACGAACTTTATTCCGGAACCAATTTGTTTTCCTGAAAGTTTTTGTTATGACTGTTTGTAGACGTATATACGTATAAGTTCTTGGTATAGATTCCCTTGCACGTTGAAGCTGTGGGACCTGAAAATAAAAGGACATAAAGCGTGTTATTTGTAAAAAGAAGACTTTCCACACCATTCTGTAAGAAACACTTTGAGATATGAGATATTTTTTCATGGTTTATATTCAGGTTTATCACTCCTGAAGTCTCGAACTATTTCATAATAAATTCATCACAAAACGCTGTTCAAAGAATTTCTTACCGCTATCAGGAGAAGGCTGTAGCATTTCAATTATCTGATCCAGTTTTTTGTCGATTTTCTTGATTGCTTGGTTTGTTTCAGAGTTATGTCCGTTGTACTGGTTGCAGATAAATGATTTGCCATCGGTATTTTTCGTTCCATTCGTTGCGTTTGCCGTAAGCAACAGAGAAAAAGCTAAAATGAACCAAGATCTCATCTTTCGATTTAAGTTAGCTGTGTTGAAGCGTTTGTTATCGAGTAAACTATAATATTCTGTAATGTTCCTTGAACCGGAATACTTGTACTCCACAATGCTGAGTCTCTTTTTTTTTTTTAGCTTTGACTCGTATTAAAGACAAGAAAATTTTCCAGTCGAGATATTAATTAATTAATTACCTGGTTCATCATACTCTGTTTAAAATGACGGCGGTGAAATCTCACCCGTAAGCGCTAGCAGTTTGAACGCTAAATTTGCAGTAATGTTCATTGAAAGCTCTTAAATTCTTTGGGAGTAACTTATAAAAGTAGACGAAAATTGTGCTTGAAGGCACACACCGTGCTCTGTATAAATTTTGTTTGTAGCAGACGGCTGTTTATAGCCGTGCCTCAGTTTCTTTACGTATAAAGACAAAGCAGAAAATTCATAGAATGATAAATGACTTAAAGCATGGGAATACGGAAGTTAAGGGTCTCAACCGTTTACAGCTTAAATCGTGAATTAGTTTGAAATCTTTCCCTCATTTAGACAAGTCTTCATTTAGACAAGCTTTTTTTGTTGTAATTGAGTTTCTCCAATGAATTTATGGCTTGCTATTTAATCACTACATGGATGACTGGCTAAGGATACATCAGACATTTGTGTGCGGGAGCAGAGTAGGAAGGGGAGGGTAAGGAGAAACTCTTCTTTTCCCCCGAAGCCCGGTCTCCCCAAGAGATTGCTCGCGTGACCTCTGGAGCCAGAATAACCACGAAAGTGATCGATTCAATGTTGCGTTACTCTCTGTGGAAATTACCGGGTGTTTTCGTACGTTTTTAATCGTTTTAAAAAAGCGTGAAAATATTTGCGGAGAAATATTTTCTCCTGATATTCGTTTATGTGGCGGAAAGAGATGCGACTAAGTAACCTATAGAGCTTGTGTTTCTTATTTATCATTTAATGTAATCTTTTTTCTGATATTATCACCAATCGGCTTTTATATTTTATGGCTCTCTGAAATGCAGTTGTTTTGCTGATATTGGCAATTTACCATTTTCACATTACCCATAATACACCTCGCTGTACGCCCTCAAAGTTTGCATAAGGATTGTCTTCTATTTCCCTTGGATGTCTGTTATACCCAGGAAAAATTGAAAACAACGGTTAATATGCAAAACTTTGTAGACTGAAGGGTGTTTAATGGGCAACACAAAAATGGTCAATTTGAACAGTTTAGACCGCGAATACGGATTTTGACATTTAATTTGGCTCTTTTACTCCTAGCTATGCAAAGAATAGCTTTCAGAGGCCGGATACGAACTATCACAGTGAATATGTGCAATTCGTATGTTATTTGCTGTTGAACTGTGCGGTATTTTCCAACTAATGAACTTTGTTCGTGAAACAGTCGCATTAAAAACAGTGCCAGATCCAGACCTTGAGATTAGGAGAGGGGGGGAGGCCGGTCATCCAGACCCTTAGATAAGGGGGGGCCGCGCCCCCCGGGCCCCTCCCTTGGATCGGCCACTGAAATGCCTCGCTTCGTTAACCAATCAGAATGCGAGATTTTATTCAATTATGCGATTCTAAATAAACTTTTCACATTGAATGTCTCGTGTTATTGGCCGGTCATAATGTAGCTTATACAGACTGTGTTTCTTCTTTATCCATTTAATCTAATCTTTTTTTCTTCTGCTACCACATAAATACGTTGTAATTATTTACAGCTCTCTGAAATGCAGTTCTTTTGCTTTTTAAGGCTTAGTCAATAAAAACAATTCAACATTTTCACAATTCCCAATAAACCTCTCCTACGCTCCAAAATTTTGCATTAGCATTGTCTTCAATTTCCCTTGGGACGACTGTTATATCCAGGAGAAATTGGAAACAACAGTAAATTACGTTTTGAAACCCCCATTAGTTCCACATAATACCCGATGGCCCCGATACGCTTTTACCACATTATGAGAACAGTTTAGACTATGCGCACTGATTTAGAAATTTAATTTGCATTCATGCAATTCATGTGTCATTTGCTGTTAAACTATGCGGGATTGTTCCACTTAGGCACTTCTTCACCGATAACGATGAAGCAACCTGGTGCAAATGCTTCCCCCGGTATGATAAGGGTGCATTGGATGTCAAAATTGTATTTTTATATACTCTCCTTTGCATTTGAGATTAGTGTGCAATTGACAACTATCGACAACTGATTCAGCTGGGACTGAAACAATAAGAACCATTTTTCTGGAAAGAGTATGTGAAGTGTTTGGTCATGGTTATATCTTTTCTGTGGTATAGCAGCACGTGTTATGTAGTGGATGATGAAATCTGCTCAGATCGACTCATGTTTGTAACTGATTTTTTTTCTTCATCAGTAACTAAAGGTTTTTTTTCTCTTCTCTTCAGTTAATATATCCATTGAAATAAAATTTTTATTTTATGTGAATGGTGTACGTTTATTGGTGGTGGACCAAATTTTGCTTCAAATATAGCTGAGTCAGCGTGAAAAATGTTTGCCGCTTTCTTTTGTTATCTTGTAATATTTGCTCAGTTGACACAACATTGACAACAATAATCTACAACTGCATTAATCCAAATAAAACAGTACAGAAAAGCGTAGTTATCAATGAAACCGTCTTTATGGCGTCGAGCAACATTTTATTTCATCCCAGTGTTACAAAATCCTTAATTATAGATTTACTTTAAAACCGCTTATAAACAACAATCAACAGTTTCTTAGTTGCATTTTGAGGCCATTTGAAGGCTGTTTCTGCGTATTACAGCTGTTATTGGACTAAGATGTATCCCATTGCTTTGATGTGCTGATCGCGATGTGGCTGGTTGCCACACGTGTTGGAATCATCACTGTACCCTCCAGTGCCAAACCCGATTCTGGAGTCACAGCTGATGCAATTATTTTGCTCGTTTCCAACGATACCAATTCTCGCTTTGGAGTGGTTGCTATCCGTGCATAGAACGTTGAATCCTTCCTTGTTACAGTTGGGTTGTAAAGAGGCGCGAGGCCCAATGAGCTTCTTCCACGTGTTACGGCCCAGTGAAGAGGCGCGATATTTGCCATCTGCGATCAGTGAATACAGGGATCTGGCTTGATGGTTGATGACAACAGACTTGAGCTCCTGACCGATCTTCATTCCAAGACAGATCTTGTTAAACGGTGTGTTCCAATAAGTCGGTAACTTGGTCTCGTGAGTGTCAAACCCAGTCTTCCCTCCTGGAAGGTTGAAGTCGACTTTGTTGCTCCACAGTTTAGAATTGTAGTGAAAGGTTTTCTGGGTGCATTTGAAACAAAGAGTAGTTTGTCAGTTTGCTGTTGTATCTGTTTGGGCTCTGAAAGATTTTCTGAAAGCCATACACGTCTAGTCGTTTCGATTGGTCTCACTTGGAAGATGAAGCAAAAGCGTTTTTAAGCTACGCACGTCAACCGAAAGTAGAGCCTTTGCATTCTTGGGCAGTAGTTTTGCCGAAATTTTTGGGCAAATCGTCTGTATTAGAGTCAACACACTTAGCAATAGAAATTTGCTAGCATTAAGGCATAATAAAAGGGAAAAACATCACTTCCGGTTGACGTGCGTCGCTGAAGAGCGCCCTTGCATTTTCCTCTAGCATTAAAAGTTTACCTTAATAGGGGGAGTAAGCTTGTTGATGAGTAACCACGTAGTTAATCAGCTATTGAACATTTTAACTTTTAATACCTTTAAGCCATCGATCTTCATGACCAGCGTCCATCCACCTCCTCCGCATTCATCAAGACCATGCGTGGTCATGTGACAGTATACGGGAACCTTTGTAGACCCAACATCCAGCAAATACGCTGTGTTTCCTTTGGACCTGGTCAGACAAACATGCCACCAAAATGGTTAAGTTCATTCAGAATGACATAGTTTTCTTCTGTTTGGTAAAGCAGCCTAGTTTCTCAAGAAATTTGGCGAATTTAGAATTATGTCAAAAGTAGGTTGAGTTTGATCGTCCGGGTGAACGTAGTCCTGAATAAGACTGTTGTTGAGAATTATGTGAAGAAATTAGAATTATGTGTAGTTTTGTTTGTAATGTTTTTCTTTGTAATGGGTGTAAGAATATGTTTTGGAATCGGGTCGGGATCGCCGCAGTTGAGCTGCAACGGCGTTACGAAATGTTTGTGCAAAGCCTAGGAAAGCTCGATATCTATATAACCCTTCCTCTGGAGAGGGAGAGAATTGTGTCTAATTTGTATTTCATATTTTATAGTTTTTATGTGACAGTTACGTTACTGACATTTGTTTATAATTCTGAGGTTTTGTAGACGAGATAGAATGCCTTTATTCACCATTCACCTAAGTTCAGAGTCTTGTATAAATATCAGGAAATCCAATTTTTATATAGATCAGAGATTTAGTACATTTCACTGACTACACAAAAAAACACTGTAATTGACTATAGCGAACACTCCTGAATAAATTCATTAAGTTTCTTTTCTTCGTTTGTTACTGACCTTCGGTGTTTAAGTATTTGATTTACTGCTATTTTTCTCATTTTAATTTCGTCGATACTTTGTTACTGATTTTATAGCAGTTACTATTGTTTGTTATCCAGAAAATTTTCTTAACTTTGACTTCCCCGTTTTTCGTGTATTTGACTTGCCAGTTGGTAAAGAAAATTAAGAAGAAATTTTAGCAATTTTAGTTTTGAACGCTCGGAAATTTTAAAAGTATATTTCAAAATTTGCGGCTCAGTGTCTTTTTGTAGTAGGTTATTTTCTATCGCTTGTACTTACAAATTCTTTTCATAAATGTCTTTGCACGTTGAAGCTGTAAGAAGTAAGATAACGATATTAGCTACAGTGTATGTCACAAAAAATGAATTTATTAAACAAGGTAAATCCTTTCAAATAGTCGTTTCAGTCGACAGCATCAACATCGTTGTCTTTGTCCAAATGGCGACTGTACTAGGTCACATGACCACTGATCATGTGGCCAGCAGGGTCATGTGACCATTTTGTACTAACTGTTGTACTAATGAGGATCAGATAAAGCTACTAAAATGAGTGAAAAAAACGTACATCGCCTCGAACGACAGTCGACATCTTAAGAAGCTTTGGCAACCGAAATCGCGTGAACCATTTGATATTTTTGTTTTGAAATTTCGTGCTCCTTTATGAAATTGTACTCATTGTTTCTTTTCCTTCTTACCCTGGAGCAGTGGATTTCGATAAAAAGATACCAGAAAATGTGATGCACGTGCAGACCAACTTTTTTGTTGCCTTAGTCGTCATGGTTGCTTTACTTTTAAATTGACTGGGATTACATAAAGAGCTAGAAAATGTAAACTTTCGGAGATGAAGTCATGGAAATTAGGAGCTATAATTGAATGCATCTTACCTGGAAAAGCAGGGGGCTGTAGCAGTTTAATTAGCTGGTCTAACTTCTCATCAAGTTTCTTGATAGCTTCGCTAGTTTCAACTCCCTGTCCAATGTACTGGTTGCATACAATTGTTTCACCATTTCTGTTGGTGCGAACTGGAGTCGAGGTGTTTGTAATTTTAGCGCCATTAGCCACGTACACTACGAGTACCAAAGAGAAAGCCGCGCTAAGCCAAAATCGCATTGTGAGAACCAACTTTGTTAAGTGCACTAAAACAGTATTCCGTAATGTTGTCTTCAGCAGAGTAATACGTGCTGAATAACCTTGTGTGCTTTTATTTGACGTGTTGGAACTGAGACGGAAATTGCAATGTGCTGTATAAACATGCGGATGTGTTTTCCGGCTTGTTCATTTGAGATTCATTTGAGCCTGGACGACCCTTAGGGCCTTTATTTTAACGCAAGTCCTTAGGCTGCTGCTTCAGGGGTGATTGGGGAGGGGAGGGGAGGGGGCAGTAAAAAACGCGAAAGGGAAAAGGGAGAGTTACTTTTCTCCGTGCAATTCCACCGACCCCTCACTTCCCCTGTACCTGTCAGTCATGAGTCCTATCCCTGAGGCCAGAAGTATCCGCACCTTTCGAATTTTTATTACTTTTTTAAACGAATTCAACTTTAGTGACTCGCCATTGTATTGTAATTACGGTTGCTGATATCCTAAGTTTTCCATTTCAGTCAAGAATTAACGTGAGATCAGTTCCTGCTTTCAGACACATCGTGTTTACTTTTGATTGTAGCCGGAGATTTGTTATGGCAAGTTTGTTTTCATTGTAAAATCATACCTTGAAAACGAGGATGTTGAGGTCATAAGTTTAGCATGCCAGTCAGTTCACACTGTTGGACCCCATCCATAACGAAGTCACCTTCCCGTATTTCTCGTGTACAGAGATTCTCATTCAGTATTCTTGAAATAGCAAAAGAGACGATAAACGAATGAGGGACAATAGAACACTAGAATGGCGTTCTAAAATTTTCTCTTGGAGTTAGTGTTTGAGTACATTTGCGTAGCAGTTTACATATATTAGAGCAAGACAACTTTAATTAATCTACCAGGTATATATTGAAGAGATATTTTGTGCGGTATATTTCCTCGATATGCAAAAGACTCTGTCATACTGTGTGATACTGTTTAAGTGTGTCAAGGTTCGTGAATGCTAAGAACGTCTTCTAACTAAATTAGAATTTCCTACATGGTCGTGCAAAGGTAAAAATGCACATTGCCACGAGATGATGCAGTGCTCTTCCGTTTTGACTCGATATCATTTATGTTTTTAAAAATGGTTAATTAAAACGTATTAGTTTTCCGAGTCGCGCAAAAGAATATTTTCCCGTGAAAGCCATTGTCGATAATTCGAAGTGTTTTTTTTTCTTAACCAAGGTTAAAGTATGGGAAAGAAGAGAAGGAGAAAGTGTTTCTTTAAACTTGACGTTAATTAGCCCCGATTACAGTAATGCGGTTTTGTTTTGAATTCTTGTACGTTCTGCCCTAATAAGATCGTGTTTTTAAACACGTTTAAATTCGACAATGCTCTGGTAAAACCTCTCACCAAAAGTGTCAACCTGGAAACTGCGGTTTGCGTCTCACGTCTCTTTCATTATAACAGTCGCTAGTTAGTTTTTAAAGAAATCAACATAAATTTCATGACCAGGGGCGTAGCCAGCTTTTCGAATAGTTGTAGGCCTGCACGCACGCATGACTAGTACGCACTGACTTCACCAACACTTTGAGCTCTGAATGTTTTTAACTCACCCCAAGAACGCGTAATTTATTATAAACGGAAGAGTGATCAAACTAAAAATTTGTAGGCCCAGGCCTTCAGGTCTATGAGTTGGCTACGCCCTTGATTACGTTGATACAAGTTTGGCAAAAAAAGACCTTCAACGCTCCCTGATAGCGCTTGAGTAAACCTTTGTTCCATGGTTGATATGATGATTTAGTTTTTGTGACCTGAGAGGATTGGTCTTTCGTCAAAGTGATACAGAAAAGCACATTTATTGAAGAAAGAAACTTTTTGGCCTTTTCAATGAAGTACTTTATATCATGTTATTACAAACCCCTTTTTCTAGTTTCACTTTTATAACCCCAGCCCTTCTTAACGAGAATCAACAGTTTCTTAGTGCATTTGAAGGCTGCTGGCAGGCTAGGTCTGCGTATTGCAGCTCTTATTGAACCAAGACGTATTGCATAGCTTTGATGTGCTGGTACCACACGTGTTGGAGTCATCATTGTACCCTCCAGTGCCAAACCCGATTCTGGAGTCACAAGAGCTACAGACATTTTGATTGTTGGCAACGATACCAATTCTTGCTTTAGAGCCGTTGCCATCGGTGCATAGTACGTTGAATCCTTCCTTGTTACAGTAGGGCTGTAACGAGGCCCGAGACTGATATTCAGCCCAATTAGTTAAACCCTTTGTTTTAATGCTAGTCGTACTGTTTCTGTTCCCTGAGGTACCACACCAGGCGTGAAGTTGGAGGGGAGTTGGGGGGGGAGGGGAGGGTGGGGAAGGGGGGCAGTAAAGAACGCGAAAGGGAAAAAGGAGAGTTGCTTTTATCTCTCAGTCCCCTCTCCCTTTTCCCTTTTTCGCGATGCCCCCTTCCTATCCTAGAGGCCAGAAGTATTCGGTCATATCAGCACTGTCTAAATTGATTTTATTTTTGTTTTGCAATGAATTCAACGCATTCTAATTAAGGATGTTGATATCCACTCATGAGAACAAATTTAAAATCAGTTCATGCCATATTACACCACCTCCATAACCACGTCGTTTTTACTTTTTCTTGTATCCGGAGATTTTTTAGAGTTAGTTTGTTTTTGTTGCAAAATTACACCGTGGAAACAAGAAAGTGTAGGACGTAGGTTAACCATGCAACTCACGAATTATGAAATAAGTTCATGCTGTTAGACAATGTACATGAAGAAGTCATCTTCCCTTTTTTATCGCGTACAAAGATTCTCATAAATTGTTCTTGAAAATTGAACAGAGGCGAAAAAGGAATGAAAGACACAACAACAATGATGGCGTTTTAAGAATTTGTCTCGGAGTTCGATTACTTTTGTTTTCTGATACAAATGCTCAGCATTTGACACTTTTTAAGTCGTTTCTACCCTTCTACATTTTAGAGCAAGAAAACTTTAATCTGCCGGATATTGAAGGGATATCAAAAATGTATTTTGTGTATATTTTGTCGTTAAACAAAAGTCTGCATGAAAATATTGCAAAGATAATAATGTACATTCGCACGTGAGGATAAACGCTATCCCATTTTGACTCGATGTCATCTATATGTATTTAATACAAAAGGTAATTTAAAACTTACTGGTTTTCCGAGTCGTGCAAAAGAGTGTTTTCCTGGGAAAGCCATTGTAGATAGTTCTAAATGTTTTTGTTACCAAGGTTAATGGACCGGAAAGAACAGAGGGAGGAAGTGTTTTCTGTTAAAACTGACTTTATCCCCGTTTACAGTAATGTTCGTGTTTTTCAAACGTGGAAATTTGAAAGAGCTTTCCTAAAAACGGACGCTTTTAAAAAGGAAACCTTAAATCCTTAATATAACAGTGTGGACTGTAACATCAATTCCCATGATACAAGATTCAGTAAGAACCTTTTTATTGATAAAATTAAGTAAGAAATTTCTAAGGATGCTTTTTTTTTATAAAGGTTCAGTTAGTTTTAAGGTGACTCGACCCAGCACAAACTCAGCCAAAACGCTAAAAATCTTCAATGTTTACTCAAGTTTGGGCTTATAGAAGGTAATGTCACAGTTTTTCAATGAACATGAAATTCAGAGTCCGGGTAGTTAGTTAATCAATTGTGGTCCTGAAAAAATTTGAAGGAAAAAAAACTACGAATTTTTAAGAAAATGCTTTTTCTGTGAGATTGACTCTTAAACGCTGACAAACGTCAACAAATAGCAAAAACTAGAATTTCTAAATGTTTGCTTTGCTCGAAATCTCGCGCATTTACAAGGCCCTAAAGCGTTTTGCTGACTTTCAAGGACCCATCTGTTATAAGGATGCCCAAAATACAGAGATGAATCTCATAGTTTATTAGATATAATCCGTGTAAAGTTTGCTTATCATTTTCGCATAAATTATGACCTAAATTTGGAAACCGCTGAATTTCTCGAATTGGGTCTTTGCGATTTTGGTGAAACTCTGTTCAGCGCAAGGCACTAATGCGCACTATGTGTAGCCGAGAGATTTTCACGAAAAAATGCCGGCAACAGCAGATTTTCGACTCAGACCTCAAAGGGGCGTGGCATTATAACCACGTGACATTTACTCCGATCGCCAAAAATTTTATGTTATATTGTAGATTGATCTATATGTTATCCATTCTATGTGTTAGACTTACGATAAAAGTAAAGGTGGGGATACCAGAGAGCTTCAAAGTAGGATGGTACCCCCGCAAAAAAACTGGGACGAGTCACCTTAACTCATGATTTTAAAGATTTTTAGCATACAGTGAACAACTTATGTTCATCTTGATTCATTTATTGTTTTAACAGGGCTCACATTGATATCACTTAGTAATAAAGATTAAAAATTGAAAATGTCTGCGCGGCGTAGTTCCTTAATGCTCATTTGAAAGTACAACATTGATAGCAGTTCTATAACTAGAGTGGTTAACTCATTTGAATTTTTTCTATTTTTTATTATTTTTCCGATTTTTCGCAATAGAGTATTTTCACTCACGTGTCCAGCATCTATGCAAATTTGTTGGAACAAAAGAAAGCCTTTGCGTACGAAAAGATTTCAACTCCCAGAGGATTGGTTTGGGACACAAAAATATGGCCGCCATGACGTCAGGTGAAAACACTCTACTGTTACCGCTCCTGTACAAGTTTGTACGGTGAAGGAAAAGGCCTACCTTCGTGTAGCACTAGTTTCCATAATGTAGTCGATCATAAAATTTACCATCCTCTTGTATGTGTATTTGTTATTTCTACTCACAGCTAGGTGTTATCGCCTTTTTTCTTATTCTTTATGTTTTGCTCTTATTTTTAAATTTGGGCTTTCTTTCGTTTGAGCTTTCGTTTTGCCAATAGAGTAAGTTAACTCTAACTTTAGGGATAATGCTTTGTCGGGTGGTAGACCGAAAAAAAATCAAAATGATCATAAATCAATTTTCACAATTGTCCTCAAGCATGTTTGCTAAGTCTCGTCGTCTTATATTCCTTCTATTTATATCTGCACGAGATAATTTTAGACCACAAATATGGACCCTGATATCTTAGATTGAAATTTTGTATCTTAAAGTCGTTTTCATTACGAAACTGATAGTTGGTTTCATTTACTTCAAAAATATTCACTACATAACTAGGCAATAGTTTGTGTTTCACTTTATTCATCATTATAGCTATATCTTGAAGCCTCTGGTTGTATAGAGTAGTTAGTCCAGGTTTCTTGAGGAGTTCTTCATATGTGGCAGATTTTCCCCTAAATACAATGCGAAGAGCGCGCTCTTGTGAATCCTTTCGAGTTTTCTTCTGTCCGATTTTGCACAGAAGTGCCGTACTATATGACAGTACGTTAAATTAGGTAAAATTGCATATTTATACAAATGAAGTTTAGTTTCTGTAGAAATCATATCCTCTAAACGTGACAGGACTCCAATCTTCATACTTGTGTTTATACAGATCTCTTGTATATGTGACTTAAACTTAACTATCTAAACAAATGATTGTAAAAAAAGATAAATTCGTAATACATTTTGGTACAGTGTACTTGCGGTCACATAATAAGCTCATCGAGAAAATTGCTTAGTTCCGGCCACTAAGGAAATGTAGCTCTTTAAGAGAATGGTAGCAGAGCTTATTGGAATTTTACTAGATTTTCGTGCCTAAAAAGCCATGATTTGTTATGCTCCTTTTTAGATTTGGCTTTATGCTCTTCTTATTTTTCCTGCAAGTCTAAGTGAAAGGAAAATAAATTTGCAGCTGTAAAACAATGTACAATTTTTGTTTTGTTTTTTCTTTTCTTTCTTTCTTTTTTTTGTTTGAAAAGTATCGTGAAAACCGGTTGGGGTGCCTGTTACCTGTGGTAACAGTCGCTTTAATTAATTTATGAAAAACTCCGTTCCTTGGTCGGTTTCCTGATTCAGTCAGTTTTGACCTGAGACGATACTTGTGTGATGGAAATGATTCAACAAAACCACACTCATTAAGAAACTGCGTTTCTTGTCTTGTCAATGAAACATTTCATTTCATCTCAGTCCCACAACTCCCTTATTTAAGATTTTACTTTTAAACCGCTTACAATCAGAAATCAACAGTTTCTTAGTTACATTTTACGGCCGTTTGAGGGTTGTTTCTCGGCATTACAGCTGTTATTGAACCAATATGTATCCCATCGCTTTAATGTGCTGGTCGCCCCGGCTATAGCTTCATTGCCACACATGTTAGAGTCATCGTGGTTCCCTCCAGTGCCAAATCCGATCCGGGAGTCAGCGCTTCCACAATCATTTTCGTTGTTTCGAACGATACCAATCCTCGCCTTAGCGAAGATGGTATTTATAGATAGTTCGTTGAATCCCTCCCCGTTACAGTTGGGCTGCAAAGAGGCCCGAGAGCCAATGAGCTTCTTCCACGTGTTGCGGCCCAGTGAAGTAGCTACATGGATCTGGCTTGATGATTGATGACAACAGACTTGAACTGCTGACCGATCTTCATTCCAAGACAGATCTTGTTAAACGGTGTGTTCCAATAAGTCGGTAACTTGGTCTCGTGAGTGTCCAACCCAGTCTTCCCCCCTGGAAGGTTGAAGTCGACTTTGTTGCTCCACAGTTTAGAATTGTAGTGAAATGTTTTCTGCGAACACAAAAAAACAGCAATGAACTCTGTAAGTCCTTTACTTTGACTCTGGACTTGCAATGTAATTTTGTCTTTAGAATGGAAATTAGGTGATGACAAACCAAGCTAGATGTGAAAACATTGATCTTTAAACACCTTTGAGCCATCGATCTTCATGACCAGCGTCCATCCTCCTCCTCCGCATGCATCAAGCCCTTGACTGGTCATGTGACAATATGCGGGAGTATTTCTAGATCCAATATCCAGCAGGTGCGCTGGATATTGCTGTTAATTAACACCAATATTAACACTTCGCGCAGTAAAATTGTACTTCATGCTTTTATTTCATTCTTCGCCTTCAATATCAACATAGCTTTGCTTGCACTCTGTCGAACAGCTTAAAAAAAACTGAGTAAACAAACAAAAAGAAAAGGGAAAGAAAGAAACTAAGAAAGNCTCCCCGTTACAGTTGGGCTGCAAAGAGGCCCGAGAGCCAATGAGCTTCTTCCACGTGTTGCGGCCCAGTGAAGTAGCTACATGGATCTGGCTTGATGATTGATGACAACAGACTTGAACTGCTGACCGATCTTCATTCCAAGACAGATCTTGTTAAACGGTGTGTTCCAATAAGTCGGTAACTTGGTCTCGTGAGTGTCCAACCCAGTCTTCCCCCCTGGAAGGTTGAAGTCGACTTTGTTGCTCCACAGTTTAGAATTGTAGTGAAATGTTTTCTGCGAACACAAAAAAACAGCAATGAACTCTGTAAGTCCTTTACTTTGACTCTGGACTTGCAATGTAATTTTGTCTTTAGAATGGAAATTAGGTGATGACAAACCAAGCTAGATGTGAAAACATTGATCTTTAAACACCTTTGAGCCATCGATCTTCATGACCAGCGTCCATCCTCCTCCTCCGCATGCATCAAGCCCTTGACTGGTCATGTGACAATATGCGGGAGTATTTCTAGATCCAATATCCAGCAGGTGCGCTGGATATTGCTGTTAATTAACACCAATATTAACACTTCGCGCAGTAAAATTGTACTTCATGCTTTTATTTCATTCTTCGCCTTCAATATCAACATAGCTTTGCTTGCACTCTGTCGAACAGCTTAAAAAAAACTGAGTAAACAAACAAAAAGAAAAGGGAAAGAAAGAAACTAAGAAAGGAAAAACTACGAAACTTTTCGAAACTTACTTTTGTAGTATCTTTCTGTTCGTTCTTCAGCTTGTAGTTCAGCAAGAAACTGTTTTTATCTGTTTCTAAATGGAGGATATTTTTTAAAAGTAATAATCTTAATTTGATTAGGAGAGGTTTGTAGCAGTTTAATTATCTGATCCAGCTTTTCATCGAGTTTCTTGATAGCGTCGTTAGTTCCAACGTCTGTTCCAATGTACTGATTGCACACAACTGTTTCACCGTCTCTTTGGGCGTGAGCGCTATTCGTGCTGTTGGTAATTTTAGCACCGTTTGCTTGGTATGCCGCAAGAAACAGGAGCAACGTTTCAAAAAGCCAGTGCTTCATTGTGGAAGCCAAATGAGACTGAATAACTACAATTTTTCTATGAGGTTTTCTCTGTTTATTGACCTCTAAACAGTTGACTTGTGTTGGAGACCAGAACCAGTTGTCGATATTAACGGCAACCCGCTTGGTTAATAAAACTGTGTCCAAGTAACCAGACATAGTTAGTAAAAATGTTCCTAAAAATAATTTTCAAAAGTCTGTTTTGGAGGCAAATATTTATCTTGAAGAAAGGCTGGACTGTTTCTTTTTGCACTAGATTGTTTTGTCTCGAGCAATTTGTTGTTCTAAAAGATTCTTTTAGGTTAAGTTCGTTCGAACAGTAAAGGTACAGTAATAAGAGCAACTTGTTTTGGGTCTTTGCTGCAAAAGGAGTTGAAAGCGATGTTCCGCGCAGGTTGCAAACAGTAGATAGAGAATACTTCATGGAAAGTGCTGGCGTACGGTATTTACGCACGAGTTGTTGACGTATCAGAAATCGAACTCGTTCGCTGCACTCACTCGTTCGATTTCTGATACAAAAACAACAAGTGCGTAGATACCGTACAAAGCTCTTTCCATGTGGTATTGTGTTTATTATATACATTCTGAGACATTAATCATTTTGGCGGCCTTTTTATTTTAAATCTTTCAAAAAATGCTAAAATTTGCCGCTACACACTTACCGCAAAATGACAACGAAAACGAAGTATCAGCTTTTTAGTAAAAACGTTTGTTAAAAAAAATAAATGACGGTAAGGATATGAGGTAATCCAAGAACTATAAGTAATCTTAACTGTTTGTTCTCAATGCACAATTGAAAATGAGTGAATTTAAGTAAAATGGACGCAAAATGACAACGAAAACGAAGTATCAGCTTTTTAGTAAAAACGTTTGTTAAAAACATAAATGACGGTAAGGATATGAGGTAATCCAAGAACTATAAGTAATCTTAACTGTTTGTTCTCAATGCACAATAGAAAATGAGTGAATTGAAGTAAAATGGCCAGTTTCAATATAAGCTTAAGCTTAAGTGAAAGGCAAAGTAGCTCCGACAAAAAGCACAACAAAAGCTTACATCTCGTTCTGTTTTTCCCTTTCCGCTATTGTTTTGCCGGCTCTCTACCGTTTTCTTTATCGACAGTGAAACAAACGAAACTATTCCACTCCATTTCCGAAATGTTTTTCACTTTTTTAGCGAGAAAAACTCTTTAAGTAAAACTTTTGTCGTTGAAGGTGTGCGAAGCGGCGCTGCAAGCTGCAATAAAAGGCGGGAATTTTGGCGCGAAACTCACACACCTCTGTGGCTTCTGATTGGACGTGTCATTTTTCTCACACGTGAAAAAACATCGTTCGCGATTCTGATTGGACGTATCATTTTTTCACGTGTGAAAACCATCGTTCGCTTCTCTGATTGGCTAGAACTAATTTGCGTACGAAAATTTACGACATAGCTTTTTGGTGAGTATTTCTCAGTATGTATATAATAAAACTACTTTCTACATTCTGAAACAACCTGATTTGCTGCAAGACTGGTTTGACTGGTGGCTGCTAATACGCACAATATCGCAGCTTTATAACTCGGTTTCAGTAAACCAATGGTGCAAAACTAGTTGCTCGTTTTCCTGGTTCGTTGTCCTGGTTCGAACGAACAAGAAAACGTTGAAAAACGCGGGCTTTACGGAACAGGCCTATCAGTACAGTTTCCAACAGTACTTTGAAAGACGTAAACAAGAAGGTCAAACATTCGCAAAGATTTGAAAAAGGTATTCGTCTGGTTACAATTCCTCTGTAGACAAGCATTTTTTGTAATGTGCAATGTGTTTGGGGAATTTATACCATAGACAAAGGCCAATTACTTTTCCATTTGTATTGCAAAACTAAGCCAAGAAATCTTGATTTATAAACTCTATGATATGGTTAGCGAAATTTATGTCTACTATCCCGAACGGTGCAGCTGGGCTATTAAGTAAATAGATACAATTGTAATGACCTGTCAAATATGTTAGCATTGTCACTGAAGAAGTCCAATGAATTGCCAAGTAAATGCTGATAAAAATAAGAAGTTATGGTAAAATAATTTCATACTCCCTTGAAGTAGCTCTTAGAGACTTAAAGATTTTGCTGAAAGCACACAAACTTCATCGTTTACTTAAGCAATAGACCACAGTTTCTATGGGTTTACCGGCGTGATAACCCACGCGGGATGTTGGTAGAACACAAGAAAAGCTTGTAAATCACGAGCCCAAGGCGAGTGATTTACAAGCTTTTCGAGTGTTCTCCCAACATCCCAAGTGGGTTTTCACGCCGATAAACCCATAAAAAGTGTGGTCTAATGCTTTGATAAAATAACTTGAAGTTTTCGATGAGTTTACCGGCACAATAAACCATAGGTTTTTAACCAATCAGAACGTGCGCATTATCTTAGTTATTTTATAAAGTATTCTGACGACCACCAGATTGTTGTTTACAGAGCCATCTGTTGTTTATTAAAGTCCCACCATTGTGGACTTGATTAACAATAGACCATTTGCTTGACGTCATATGACGTCAGCAACCAGAATCCCTCAGGTTTTTGTTTTTACAATTTAGGCTATTGTATTGAAACTTCATTGAGTTACTAATCGAAATATGAAGATAAATAACGAAATGAATTGTGGTTCTTGTGTACTTATTTCCGGCCACGAAATAAAATGGCGGAATTTATACCGCAGGCGAATTTTCTAAATGGCTGAACGTATACTGGAGATGAATTTTTCGTCTGACAATAGATTCATTTAAGTATAAATTCTTGAGACGAATTTAGCACGAATTTTAGAGGACATTTATGCTAAAAGACTGGGCATGAATGATAAACAAAATGGCTGCCTTCAGAGCTGTTTTGATCAACAGATAAGATCGAGAAAAATAGCAGTATTTCAGTGTAATAGTGTGTTAACAGCGTTTCTTAACAGTCTTTACTTGACCTTTTTTTTTAACATTGTTCAGGGCGCGCCCTCTTTAACATTATATCCCATGAAACCTTGCGAATGAATAGATACGGCGGCGAACTCAAGTCAAAACGGAGCAGAAATCTGTCTTCGTTTTCCGTCTAGATATAAATTTAAAGACGGATTATCAACCTCAGACGTCTGACAAACGAATCAAGCGAAGACGAATTTTGGCCAAAAATTCATCAAAGTATCGGATTTATATCTAGACGAATTATTCGTCCCTGATGGATATCTTGTATTAGGCCGATAATTCGTCTGTAGTATAAATTTGGCCAATGTTTATAGGAATGTTTATAGAGTTTACAGAGTTTATTTGTTGTGTTCCTTTTTATATTTGGTCCTAGTTTCTTGTTTGTTGTTGTTTTTAGTGATCTTTCTGTATGAAGTATGGTTAAGTCTAACGTTACGAAAAACGCATTTTCCGCTGGTGGGCCAAATTTTAACTTTGTTCTATAGAACTCGTCTTTTGTTCTTTTCTTTTTAATTATTTTACGAAGTAAGCAAAATTTCAAGGTTGACAAAAATCAACTTTCTCGCCTTTTACTAGCCTGAATTTCAGCCGTTTCGTTAAGTCGCAAACTCCCGAGAGAGACGTTTGCGACTCGAGGTGACGTCTGACATTCAAGCTAGTTTTTTTACATGGCTCGAGCAGTTTTCATAACACTTCATTCCGCGCTTGTTATCCGGATATAGTTTTTGACCTGAGACGATACTAATGTAATGAAAATGATAAGAGAACTACATTCAGTCATCAAAGAAGCAGAGTTTCTGGCCTTTTAATGCAAAATTTTATTCTACCTTGTTTTTACAAATTCCTTATTTGACCGCTTTTTAAACATAATTAACAGTTTCTTAGATGCATTTTAAGGCCGCTTGAAGGCTGTTTCTGTGTATTACAGCTCTTATTGGACCAAAATATATCCCATCGCTTTGATGTGCTGGTCGCCATTATCTCCTCCATGCTGAGCTGCGTTGCCACACGTATGGGAGTCATCAGGGTACCCTCCAGTGCCAAACCCGATCCTGGAGTCACAGCTGTTACAATCATTGTTGTTGTTGCCAACGAAACCAATTCTCGCTCTGCTAGCACCACCACACAGCGTGTTAAATCCTTCCTTGTTACAGTTGGGTTGTAAAGAGGCCCGAGACCCAATGAGCCTCTTCCATGTGTTACGGCCCAGTGAAGTAAGTCGGTATTTGCCATCTGCGATCAGTGAATACAGGGATCTGGCTTGATGGTTGATGACAACAGACTTGAACTGCTGACTGATCTTCATTCCAAGACAGATCTTGTTAAACGGTGTGTTCCAATAAGTCGGTAACTTGGTCTCGTGAGTGTCCAACCCAGTCTTCCCTCCTGGAAGATTGAAGTCGACTTTGTTGCTCCACAGTTTAGATTTGTAGTGAAAGGTTCCCTAAGAACATTTAAGAAAAACAAAAAGCATCATGTAAGTTATTCTGATAACGTACTATCGCCTTGCTGTTTTATAATTTGACAAATATAATATCAGCATTTTGGTCTTCACTGAATTGATAACTCATCGAGCTAATAGTTATCTAACCTACACTTACTGGATCCACTATAACCCTGTATGTTGACCTTAATTAATGGTCTGAATTTAAGTGACAGACAGACAGAGCAAAATCATGGTCTCTTCACTGAATTGATAAATCATCGAACCAACAGTTATCAAACCAACACTTACTAGATTCCCCTCGCCATATACGTTGACCTTACTGAGTGCGGATGTAAGTGGTGACACACCGTAATTTTTAGGGAGTTATTATAACTCCAAAAATGGAGTAAAAATTTTAGGTGCAGGATAACCCCTTTTTTGGGGTTATTTTAACTCCTAATTTAACTCCGAATTTCGGGTCATTTTTACTCCTGAAAAAGAGTTCTTTTTACTCCCAGTCTGGAGTTAAAATCACTCCGAAATGGGGTTACTTGTACTCCTTACATGGGTTGTTTTTACTCTTTTTGGAGTTAATTTAACTCTGAAAGTGGAGTAAAAATTTTAGGTACAGGATAACTCCTTTTTGGGGGTTATTTTAACTCCTCAATATCTGGGGTCACTTTTACTCCTGAAAAAGAGTTCTTTAAACTCCTTTTTGGAGTTAAAATAACTCCACGAAAAATAACTCCACTGTAAGGAGTTAAATTAGCCCCACTAGAGGAGTTATTATAACTCCCTGAAAATTACAGTGTAGACAGAGCTGCTTGTGAGAGAATTTAACTTTTAATACCTTTGAACCATCGATCTTCATGACCAGCGTCCATCCACCTCCTCCGCATGCATCAAGGCCATGCTTGGTCATGTGACAGTATACGGGAATCTTTGCAGACCCAACGTTCAGAAGGTACTCTTTATTTCCTTTGGACCTGGTGAAACATACAACTTCATTGGTTCACCTCATTTTGAGATATTTCGCTCATCTCAGTGGGGCCATAGAAAGGCTGTCTTAGTAAGGGCTCAATAGAAATGGAGAGTTCCAGAAAAAGGAAGTCTTTCATATCCAGTGGAAAGTGGAAGTGGAAATATAAAGATATCAAGCGAGGTTGTAATTGCTGACTTTGTCGATTAGCGTCACAATTTTTTCCTCGTGTTCTATCTTCACCAGTGTCGGGCTTCGCTCCTAATCAAATGATAAATTTCTTAATCCTATAAAGTTGCTGGTTGATGAACTATCCTTCGTCTTGAGTATTTCGTTATAATTGTTAGTGCTTGCTCATTTCCTGGCTTTTTTCTAAAAAACTGTGGTTATCGTTATTCTAGTTTATTTTACCATTTTTGGACCAGTTTTTGCTTTCTGTATTCTACAATCATGAAGATAATTAAGAAGCAACTCTATGTGATTTTCAGCTTTTTGCGATCTGAACTTGAAAGCCCAGTCCATGAAAAGATCTTTTCTGTAGGTCTAGATTGGCGCAGTGTTTTTATGATTTTAAACGCTAATTTTGATCACAGCACGTATTTTCTTTTCAATTTTGTGACTCGAAATGATATGTTCACAGTTTTGATAATATTCACAGTTTTGATGTATTTGTTACATACTTCCACTGTTTTTTACATTTAGAAATTTTGATCTTTCTGTAAACGATTCTCGTCATCATTTGATATAAACCTTTTGCTGTTGAGTCAAAAACAAAGTTTAGATTGTATGCCCTTTGTGGGCCATACTACGAATTCTCTCTGTTCTTTTTCAACACGCAAAGTACACGTCATTTTTTGCTGAAGCTTACTGACGTCTTGGAAACCACGTCTTCTCTGGGTTATGAGTAGTAGCAGATTTCGGCCGCGGTAATTTTTCTTGCTTAACTCTGTGTTTACTACGAAAATAAGGTGTATTTGTATTTCTTCAGCCTTATACTTACAGGTTCTTGTCATAAATCTCCTTGCACGTTGAAGCTGTTGGGAATTCAGTAGAAAATGATATTAGCCATATGAAGACCACATACAAGGAACTTCAATTTGAATCCAATTTTTGCCGTTGATTTCAACTCGTTTACGGTACTGGTGACGACAATTAGAGCCCTATCTCAATAATACCGCGAGCACTAAGTTTTACTTCATTTTTCGCATTTTCGGCTAGTTCCGCCTTAAATTGTTTGTGTCTTACTACAGTTTTAAGAAGAGAAACATCAAGGACAAAAAGCCAAAAACTTTCGAAGAATTATTTCAAAATGTCTTTGTTTTTGGTGAAGTTGAATTATCTCACATTACATTTCCTTTTCAAGGTGTTATTAGTTTAATTACATAAGAAATAGTTATAAGTAGCTTCTCTGTGTGTTAGAATGGAATATATAAATTCTTAAATTACCTGCATAAGGAGAAGGCTGTAGCAGTTTTATTAGCTGATCGAGCTTTTCATCGAGTTTCTTGATAGCATCGCTAGTTACAGCGCCGTGTCCAATGTACTGATTGCATACAACTGGCTCACCATCCCCTTTTTTTGTTGTCTTAGTCCCATTCGCCGCGCATTCCGCGAAAATCACAAGGAAGGCTACAAAAAGCAAAAATCTCATTGCGGTAGCCTGACAAATTGGTGAAGTGCAATATTTCTCCAAAGTTTTCTTTAACAGAATGACTCATGCTGTAAGAGGATGTCTAAATTTATTGACCTGAGATTTGGCTTGTAGGAAGACTAGAAAATTTTCCAGTCGGATTATTAAGTAAATAGTTGCCATTTGAGACATTTTTGCCAGAGAAAACTTTTGTGGTGCTATGTAAAATACTGATAAAAATTTTGTGGAAAGAAAGGTGTAAAGACATTTAGTAGAACTCAGAGTGCGCCAACGGAACCCCGTTTATCGCGTCTTTTGCTGATTATTTCAGCCCTGCTGTTAAATTTTGCTTTAAAATATTAGCTGCATGGTCAAAGGCGAGTAAGTAAATGTTCGTGAACAACTACAGAACTTGAGGTTTATTTCTAGTTGTTCAACGGAAAAATCGACGACAAAAAGTAGAAACTCTTACATTGAAACAGCAGGAATTGTATTCACTGCGTAATACTATGAAGATAATTCTGAAATAATTATACTAAAAGGCAAAAATTATAGTTGTCTGCATTTATTATTTGCAAACTTCGAGGTGCTATTGTTCCTACGGCAGTTGAGACCGCGACTCTTTACTTTCGTAACTAACGTCATTATTCCTCGACTAATTTTCTTCCTAAGTTTTCTAGCCTTTGCAAATGTCTTAGTTACTCTTCAACAATCTCTTCAAAGTACCAACCCTGGGTATGATATCTTGTCTTGAAAGATTCTCGAATGTCGTGAGACTTATAAGAGACACTGACAATAAAGAACTCAACCGAAATGACATTCCATGATAACACGTGGTGAGACAAAATACTGTTTATTTTTTAGGGTATTTGCATTTTACTTTTTCACAGTATAAACTTTGAACGTTTTGAGGCCTTGAGCTTAAGGTTGGACGTTTAATCAGTTTATTACTGATTGTACTTAGTACTTATCATGCTTTATTTTTCAAAAAACTTCAACTTTATTTTACAGTGGAACCTCGTTATAACGAAGGACCAAGGGACGGACAAAATTTGTTCGCCTTAACGCGGTTTCTTTATATCAAGGTTCTTTTTCATATATTTTACTATTACTGGGTAAGGAAACTCGTTCGTCAAGCGGAGGACTTCGTAATATACGTGTTCGACTGTAGAAGTATTTTATCAACGTGTCCAATCCCTATTTGGCCGATTCCTTCCCCTGTTGTATGACAAAACAACGTAATATAGATGTTCGACTGTAGAAGTATTTTATCAACGTGTGGAAACCCTATTTGGCCGATTCCTTCCCCTGTTGTGTGACAAAACAGCAGCCTTTTTTAAATCTTTTTTATTTTTATTTTCAAGCTTAATCAGTAGTTATGCTGAAAGAAGCGCATACACTTAGTCCCTCGGGTTCAAGAAATTGTAAGACGTCCTTTAAAAGCTAAGAATTTGCTCTGTTTGCCTCAGACAGGCCGAAACGTTTTTTTTATTCGGAAGCTATTTTAGTAAAGTTAGATCTAAATGGCTTAAAATTGTGTTGTAAATAAGAAGTTGATTTTGCGAGTTTAATATTCCAGTCATGAATAAATTTGAAATTAGTTGATGCTATCAGACACCTTTGATAAAGAGGTGTATTACAACTTTGTTTGAACGGAAACAATCGCTTTTTTCTCTTCAATTTTCATGAAGAAGAACAGAGGAAACGAACAAATAAGACGAACAGCAAGTTCCATTGCGTTTGCTTTTGAACATAATTGTTTTGATTGCGTTTGATATATTTAACGTGTTTCGACCATTTCTTGTTTATCAAAGGTTGATTCGAGATCTGAATGGTTAAAATCGATGTGAGTATACGTATTTGTTGTCGGTATATTTTCTAGAGGAGCACAAATTGCGTGATGTTCAGTTTTTAGACAAAGCACAATTCAGTAGACGATAGTATAAATATAACAACCTAGGTTTACCTTGAGAATGAACACTATCACGTTGGTTTTTCGAGAGGCGCACAGAAATTTACAGTCAATTCCCTCCAAGGAGGACATCTTTGCGACCGGCACCAAGTATCCGCCCGGTCTTAGAGTAATGTCCGTCTTATTGACAGTCGAATAAAAGGAGTAAAGAAAAGCAGGGATCAGGCAACTGTCTCCGCAACTGTCGTCATCTCGAAATGGCAGACATTCGACAGCACTCCTTATAGCAGATTTTTCTAAAAGCGAAGCTCTGTCGTATTATAGTCAACGGCGGAAACCAAAAGTTTTGAAAACGCTGACTGGGAAACTGCCCACCTGCCCCTCCCCTAAGTCAACATTTTGCCCTAAGAGAGAAGTAAGTGTTTATGTTGGCTTAGGGGAGGGGTAGGTGGGCAGTTTCCCAGAAACGTATAATCCGAAAATATGAGCTTAAACTCAAAGCAGTAATTTGTATTCAGGTACATGTTATTTGTTTTGGAAGGTAAATAAAGGAGCGAGGTTTGTTTATGGTTGTTCTTTGAAGACAATTTTTTGTGAGAATGGCTCTTGAAATTTTGAATTCGACCCGTTTGATTTTCAGTCTGTTTAGTATTGTGTGAACAAGAGGGTACTCCACACTTGATAAGACACACGTGGTTTACTTTATAAAGTCGATCGTAGCTTCGACCTTAAACAACGACTTCGATCTTACAACATAAAGAAGCAAAATAAATGATCTTTGATTCATATTTCACAGTTTTTATGGACTGAAGACTTGTTTCAGTTCAGCGCCCCAAATTTTTGATGACGTCTTTTATTTTCTGGAGATGCCAAAATTGATCCGTATGCTTCTTCATCTCATGGTATGATTCGGAACCCATTAAACGGATAGCTTTCTGGCTTGAGTTTTTTGTTGTGAATCGTTCGTTAACCCTCGCTTTGCCGCCAAGAAGAGTCGAACGTGTTCAGCGCAAAACTTGCTATTCGCAAGTGTACAACAGCTAGAACCATGTTAAGGTAGAAAGGAAATGTATGATGTAGACTGAAAACCTTTGCTATAAACTTGGTCTGATGACCAGTATACTTCAAAGGAATCCTCTCTAGGTTGCAAGTTCTCCATTGTATTTTGTGTCTTTTCTCGCAACATCGACAATTTTATACTTTACTAGCCCTCTCATGAGGTAAATCCTTGTTGGTTCCCACATTTTATGAGCCACGTGACCAGCCGCGACCAGGGTTATTTCTCGAGGCAAGGGAGAGAACCCTGGGAGCGAGGTTGATCTGATCGCCGAGCGCCTGTATTGTGGGCCCTCCCTTGGGCCCTCCATTCGGCGCCAATTCTCGTTATTTGAACCCCTGCAATAGGCGAGCATTCAACTACATTAAAAACCCGCGAGTAAAAACCTGGCTTTTAAGAACCTGTCGGGCTAAAATTTGAGACAGGTTCTTATTTTCTAAAATCTTTTAAAAAAATTGCATACACTTTGTCAAATAAGATAAGTCAACCTTCATTTTTACATAAATACTAATTTGGTATGTTGATTTTATATAAGGAATAAGCTGAATTCTACCAAATACTCTCATCTATAATGTATTGTTTTCTTTAGAAAATTTAGAACCTATTTTAGAACTTAAGAACTTTACTAAATAGCCTAAATGTTTTGCTAATTCTAGTACCATTTATGTAAAGCCCCGTGCAAACGGACGCGACATTGTTGGCCAACAACCCCCAACATTGTTGGATGTCATATATTGCGTCCGTTTGCACACTCTGTTGCCTGTTGTTGGATGTTTCACAAAATTCGACACTTAGAAAGAGAAAAGGTCAAGAAGGGCTTCGAGATGTCCGCAAATTTCGCAAAAACCGCAAAAGTAACAACAATTTTCTTCCTCTGTGAAAAGATTGAGCAACAAATATGGCAAAAATAGCAAGAACAACAAATTTCACAAAATTCTACACTTAGAAAGAGAAAAGGTCAAGAAGGGCTTCGAGATGTCCGCAAATTTCGCAAAAATCGCAAAAGTAACAAGAATTCTTCTTCCTACAAGAATTTTTCATGCTATGTGAAAAGACTGAGCAACAAATATGGCAAAAAAGGCAAGAATAACAAGTTTAACAGAATTCTACACTTAGAAAGGGAAAAGGGGAAGGAGAGGCTCGAAATATGGCAAAATGCCACAAATTGGCTAGAGTAACAAGAATAGGCAAGAACTATTGAAGGGCAAGAAAGGGGCCAAGAACACCCGCGCATCACTGTTTTTCGCTAATACTAATGGTTATCTCAACTGGAATACGTTCTTGTCCAGTAATTTTGTAATGCGTTCCATTTTCGCGAAAATGAAATCATCAGTTACAAACGTGACACTATTTATGATTACTGACAGTAGCAAAATAGTGTAATATCAATCTGTGTATGCTTCGTTCTTCCAACAACATACAGCTACAATGCATAGAAAGGAGTGTCGCTCACAGAAGGGGGCAAATTTTAAGCAATAAAAGGGGGTGGTAGCAGAACTTTTCATGGCCAAGAACCCAAGTCTCTATAAACAAGTAATATTCGTTTTTTTCCCAAAATTATTCAACGAATCTTTTTTCTAATCGTCTGTATAGGATGTTTCAAAAAAAGTATTAACAATTGAATGGAATTTAGTATAATTTGGAATTAAGCAACCCTTAAGGTCCCAAACATCACAAATCACAAATATTTCCTTCCTGGTCACAAATATTTCCTGCTAACAGCATCAGCATATCATCAATAGTAAGATTATCAGAATTACTAAATTGATTACTAAAGGGAGAACGCTTTGATCTTAAGCTAAATTCGGTCAACTATTCTTAAAGAGATATATGAAAATCAGTCTGGAAAATTTTGTATGTCGATCTTGGGCTTAAAGGATTATACTGACGTTATAAAATTTTGTTTAACAAATAGTCAAAACTAAGTCATACCTTTCTAAGGGATTAGTTTGTACGTACACACTAATTTATTCGATTATCGTAGATTTTTTTCTTCTACCAGAAGAAATAAGAAGTCATGCAACTCAATTTAGCCATTTTAAGATATATGCC